TTTTTTTAAAGAGCAAAAAAGAATTGGCAGAAATGTATCGGAAACCTGGACTCCCTTCTCTTCCTCCTCTCCTCTCTCTGGTTTTTCTAAAGGTAAAGCCTTTTCTCCATTTTCATTCGGTTTTTCCTTTCAAATTTGCTTCTTCCCGTAAATTATAATCTCTTCGTGAAATTTTCGTATCTTTACAATTTGAAAGATTGATCCTTTTTCGTTTGAAGTTACAATTTTTATGGCTTTTATTGATCTAGTATGGGTTAAGGGTTTGTCTGATGTATCTGCCTCGTTTATATCTAAATTTTTCGATTTTGATGGTGGCATTTGAGAGTTATCGAACAGGGGAATTCGGGTTCATGGATCCGTTTCTGTAATGCATTGAGCTTTTTGGTGGTCCGAGTTGTAATTTCGTTTCGTGTTTGAACCCTTAGTGTCGCATGCAAGATTGATATTTTGTATGTGTTATGAGTGAATTATATGTTTGAAGTTAGAATCTGGGCTTTGTATGATTCTTGATTGCATTAATCTTGGTGGCTTTACACAATGCTTGGCCTGATAGATCATTATAGACGACTAATTTTTTTTCTGAGCTAGACTTGGGCTCCGTCTAATGGTGAGTGGTTGATTATTAATTGTATGTTTAAATGAAGTTTGTGAAGAAAGTAATAACCTTTCAAATGTTTGAATGAAGATATGAAGTTTGTGAACCCTTTGAAGCTTTAGATATGACTTTGGATATTTAACATTGGATTATTGTTTAGGGCTACAAGATCTTGATTATGATAGGGGGGGCCTAGACATTCTTGTTTGTGTTGATATAGAATTTGTATAAATTGCAATGGTGGTTAAGATATGTAGACAGCTCTCGACATGGAATAAAATTGATTGGTTTCAACTTATGCAAACGATGGTGGTTTGAGATTGCTGCAATCCACTTTTTGGTAATCAATCGATCGCCAGACTTACGTAGTTTAATAGATGTTGTTTCAGTATCATTTACTTCCTGGTGTTATATTTTTATATCTTTTTTAGTGCAAAAGTTGGTTGAAAGTGTTTGCGTGCATGCATGCATGTCTCTTAGGTTCTTTTTCCTTTTCGGATGTTACTGGAATTTGTCGTTTTTCATTAATTGGTTTGTTTGTCGCCTCGTGCGAAGAGGAAAGGATCTCTGCAATCTTATAAGTATTCAATGTTAGTAAGATTCTGACGTTTCCTATCTTTTAACTAACTGGATGGCGACAAAAGAATAATAAATTTGGAAAGGCAAGACAAACCAACCGTTGATAACGTCATTCTTGTTCCATGTTTCTCTCTGGGAAGCTAGAAACAAAAAAGATGGAAAAGTAAGAGATTCTTACAGCCATTCAGGTTTTGATCGAAGCTGTGATGTTCTGATATCTCTTCTTTTTCCCTCTCTTATAATATTTTTTGCTTGGAATGAAAATACAGTTAACAAAACTATTATATATATACGGGTAATGGAATGAAATACCAGTGTATTTCGAATAGAGTTTTACGACTTCTGGGGAAAATTTCTCTGAGAATTCCATATTTTCTTAATTTTTTAAACTTCCATTGGCTGTCCTTTGAATGTGCCAACTTGACAGCAACAAAATTATATTTCAACTTTGTCTATATTAGTCTGAGTCTATAAACAGGACATACATTTAACATGATGTAGAATGCAATTAATTTACCTATATATTTGTCTTGCAAAAAGTTATTCTGAGTTTACTGCTTTCAAGATTTAACAGACATCAGTTTCCATTTTTTTAATTATTTAGACTTTACCTCCCAAGAAAATCCAACGCAACAATGCAATTTTTTCTCTTTTGGGTTGTGTTACATGACAGTTTGCCGTGACTTGCAGTATAAAATTCTCTGTGATATGTTCGGGCTTTTAAAATTTGGGGATTCTTCTTTGCAATTTTAGAGATTTCAAACTACTTATCCTTACTATTGCTTGAGAATTTCTCATGTGCCCATTTCTGTCAAGGACTAATCAATGCATGCATCTTTTGGAGAAGCAATTAGTTAACTATATTTGTTTTTAGTTTCTTTTTAAACAGATTGTTCTAAACTTAAGATTTGGGTTCTTTTCCATATATGTAGTTATGGAGTGTTTTGCTGTTCGGAGAAGATCATGGTTCAGTGCTTAGACGGATTAAAGCATTTGTGTGCTAGTGTGGTGAATTGTTGTGATACCGAATTATACAAGCAACCCAAGGGTCTGGAAGATCCAGAAGTGATTGCTAGGGCAACAGTCTGTATGTTCCCTTTATTTTATATCTGGTTTTAGATGTCATGACCAATGACTTAAAAGTGAAAGAAGCTGTATTTGCATTCTTACATGCATACTACAGTCTTGTGATTCTTGGGGAAAATAAGTCATCATTCTACATGAGTGGTTTCATCTTTTAGGAAAAGAGGTCTACTATGGCCTTTACAGCCCCTCATTGTTCATATAATGATTGCTTGATATGTGTACTTTATCTTAAATATACCCATTGGGCTTTCTAAGTTTTATTTGCTTTATCACCATCTTCTTTGCATCCATTGCAGTTAGTGTAAGTGAAATTGAAGCTCTGTATGAGCTGTTTAAGAAGATTAGCAGTGCTGTAATTGATGACGGATTGATCAACAAGGTAAGAGAAGCTATTGTTGTGAGTTGTCTTTTAATGGTAATTTGACTACCACAATTCTTGTATCATAAATGCAGAATGTTTTTTTTTTCATTTTATCTTAACATAATCTTGTTGTGGCATGAAACTTATTTTAATTCAAATATCAGTTTCTCAATGTTTAATTGTCACGAACCTGATACATGGTTCAGATCTGGAAGATAACTACTTCAGGTTTAAGAGAAAGGGAGAGAGAACAAGAGAGAGGGAGAGAAAGTTAGAAGGCCGAGAGAATAAAAACAGTGAAAGAGAGAGAGAGAAAAAATTTTAGGGAGATAATGGAAATATACTCAAATAATTCATTCCATGCTTACATATTTGAAAATATGCGATTATATACAGAAAAGAGAGCAAAAAATGCTCTGAATTTACCATTGTTCCGTAAAACATGAGAGTCAAAACAAGGGAGAACTCTAATCGGCAGGATGAACTGGCCAATTCCCAAACCCTAATCGTAATTTGTCTTAAATACCACTGGAGATCGTTGTCCACATTTTCAGACTGAGGATCGGATGGCCAGGATCTTTCCCTCAATTTTCTGTTTTTCTGTTTCTTATTCACCTAACTCTGACCCTAATTTGTTCTAATGAAAAGACAAAGCTATCACTGTATAAACTTTACAATCTTTACTCTTTATATTATTTACCTATTCCCTACTTTATCTTTGGTTTCTTACGTTAATATGCTTTAGCTATGTGTATCTAACTCCGATTTATACTCTTTTGAAATTTTCAAAATTTTACTTTACAGGAAGAATTTCAGTTAGCATTGTTTAAGACAAACAAGAAGGAGAGCCTTTTTGCAGATCGGGTATATATGGCAAAACACTCAAACCCTTGAGAATTTTTAGCTGGGTTTCATTTCTTTTTCGGTATCATACATTTTGGGTACTGTTGATTGTGGTCACAAGCAGGCATACCATGCATATAATCATGCTATTCATTTGCACTTAAAGAAGTTCCTAGACTATTTACATCCATCTGTATCTTCAACCTTGTAGGTATTTGACTTGGTCGACTCAAAGCACAATGGAATACTAGATTTTGAAGAGTTTGCAAGAGCTCTCTCTGTCTTTCACCCGCATGCGCCACTTGAGGATAAGATTGATTGGAAGTCTTGTTCGTTTCTGGAAATAAGGTTGCATGTTAAGCTTTAAATCTATGCCCCACTCCCCAGTCTCCCTACCCTGAACTAACAGGGAAAAACAATAAAATAAAAGGAGGGAAGTAAAATGTACGAGGAGGCTGGGTTAAGAATTTGTTGAACGCTTCCGGTAGGAGGAGGGGGAGCCAGTTTCTTGTGGATG